GTGCTTCCTGAGCTCGATCGCTCTCCGCTTGTAGCTCGTTCTTTGCTTCCACACTTTTTAAAAGCTGTCCTGCGTCGGGGTGCTCTCAGGGTTGAAAAGTGGCCTTGTGTTAAAGGTTGGGATGCGGTGACTCGGTCGGCGCGAGCCTCTGGTGCCTCCGAGGCATCTGCAGCTACAAACAGACTCGCATGCCAAACCAACACCGCTTCCTCCCACGGCCCGGCGGGGAGGACGGGCTGTAGACGGAGTGACTGCGGCTCACATGGGGATCCATTTGAATCATCGTCTCACTTCCTACTTGCTGACTGGACACGCGAAGGTCGTGTAATTTGAAGCCGTCCTCTCCTGCAGCATCCTGACTCTGTACAGAGGGAGCACTGCGACCTGACATCATCAGGGTGAAGCTTTCAGGTCACACTCGTTACCTTTGACCTTTGTGCTTTCTACTTTTGCTTTCAGTGTGACTCAGTTCAGGCACGATAGGTGCTTCACAGGGTTCAGGGGAAGATGATGAGCCGTCCGGGTGTGGCTCGTCCACCGAGCGCAGAGCTTCAGCAGAGGAGGACGTTTCAGACACACCTGTGGATGAAATAAAAGCAGAAGGAGCGCCTGTGGTGCTCTCAGATGTTTGCAGGTTGTAACACAGGAGTAATTTAGCTTTCACTGGGGGGACGGCGTACACACATCCATGATGAGACTCAGAGGGAGGCGGAGGCTGTCGGAGGGGGGAGGCAGACAGCGAGTCTTTGTGGTCCGCTGGACAAAGAGTGTTTCTCAGTTTGGGTTGGCGGAGGAACAGATCGGACTCGGGCGCCGCTTTGACTTCAGCTCTGCTTCTCGTTTGCAGGGAGAAGACGACATGAAGCTGCTGCTGCTGCTGCTCTGCTTCGGGACGCTTCGCGTGGGTGAGTCCGAGTTCCTCCTCGCCGTAAACCAGCCAGCAGGATTCATAGCGGTTAGAAAGAGTGTGAAGCCACGATCGCTGTAAGACACCTGCTGATCCATTCAGAGGCTGACAGTCACCTCCCAGATCACTTCCTGCTGTAAACGATTAAAGTAAAAACTCTGGGGCTGAATTCTGCTTTTCCATGTTTCAAATATTTTTTCTTTAACTAGATTTAATCGTTTTTCCCAGAGGAGAAAAAGTCAGTACTGGACCTGAGTATGAATGAAGTGAATCTGCCGGTGTTGATCCTGCTCTCATGTGGAGGATAATTCCAAATGTTCTGCTGAGAATATCAGTGATTCAAGAAAGCTTTGTTGTCATTCTCATGTTTACATGAGGTGAGACGAAGCTGCGTACCCACGGTCCCGGTTTCCCATTAAAGCAACAGAAATAATGAAATAATACAAACAAGTGAAGTGCAACAACCTGGGAAACTGTGGAGCAGGTATACAAGTGTAGACTGGATATATGTGATATATATATGAGTACAGCTTCAGAGTTTTCTTTAAATAATAAAGGGGGACACGTAAAGGTGTCAGAAACACTGCTGTGTTCGATCATTATGGACAAAGCTCTGATAGGCCGACAGCGTGAGCTGGGATCACGTCAGCCTGCGACCGTGTCGCTCACAGGACGAGCGCTGCCACAATAAATGGTTTTATTTATAAGTCAGAAACGCTGTGCGCCCGGCTGCAGGGTCGGTAGTGTTTCAGTGTTGTGTATCTGTGTATGCAGATCACATCTGTCCTGCACGTCATCAGGGCGTCGAGGCTGCTTTTGGTTTTAAATTGTTTTATTTGCTCAGTTTTGTGAGTCTGGAATGAGTAAAGGTCGATTTTAAGGACATTTCGGCTCTGAGAGCTCAGACTCGTGGATTCAGGTACTAGGTGGCGGTGCTCTGCCCGTCGTGGTGCTACCACACCTCCACATAAGCAGGTCAGTAAATCGCTTCGCCATCGCTGTCAGAGGTGGCACAGACTCCACAACACTATAAACTCTTAACCATAAAAACACACTGACTCGACCTTTCTCTCACACTTGTGTCCAAACACACTTCTAGGCGCCGCCCCCTGCTGGACATTAGAAGTAATGCAGGCTTCACTTGTCAGCCCTAGAAGCTTTGTCCATCTTTATATACAGTCTGTGGGATTTTCTCTTTGGAAGCCAGGAGGATGTTTTAGGGGATTTCAGTCAAATGATGATTTGTGTATTTATTCACTATATTTCATATATAATTAATGAATTGGTGAATAAATAGGTAGTAAGAACATGAAAACCTGACGTGTTGTTTCCAAAACGATAAATCTCGCTCCTCCTTCTCCTCGTTCTCCTTCAGGTTCTGGGCTTCGCTGCTATAAGTGCCAGGATTACACCGGACGCTGCCAGGACGTCCAGGAGTGCACGTATGAGGACTCGTGCATCTCTCTGAGTGAGAGAGGTCAGTTTAACCCAGAGTTGACCACTTCCTGTTAGCTTCGTGGTTCAGAGACTGGCCAGATTAGCTCAGAGCTATGACTCCTGTGTTATTAGTGCTGAGTCGGCTCATTTTACTTTGATGCTAAATCTTAAAAATGAAGGACGCACTTTTCTTTTTCAGCTCCACTCAGAATTTTCTCTGTCAGCCAATCAGATTTCTGTGCGTGTGTTTGGTTTTCCAGGTGGGAAGACCATCCGTCAGTGCATCAGGTACACGGACTGCGATAACTCCCGCCTCAGCCAGATGTTCCCGGCCATCTCCGCCTTCACGTACCGATGCTGCAGCAGCAACCTGTGCAACTCCGGCACCGCTTGCACCGCGGTCACGCCCCTGGTGGCTCTGCTGGGGTCTCTGCTGAGTGTCTGGTGGTGCTGGATGTGAAGCAGCATGTCAGTGTTTCAGCCACAGACTGTATAAAGTCGATGGATGTCTGAACAGCTAAAGTCCTTCAACCTGCTCTTTCTAATGACCAGCAGGGGGCGCCTCCTCTGGTCCGGAGAAAATGAACGTCCTGCTCAGCCGATCTCAGCTCAGTAAACTCGTTAATGGTCTCTGTCGCAGGTTCAGGTCTAAAACTTTCTAAAATAAAACACGAGCTTGGTCCCGTTAGAGTCGCAGAGGAGCAGGAGGAGTTTCTGTGACTGAACCGTCACAAACAGGCCCTCACTAACCAGCAGGTGACGTCACTCCAGCGACATCCATCTTTTATATACAGCCTATGATTTCATCTTTCAAAGCTAACACGAACTAAAGCAAATGTAAAAAAATAAAAACAGCTTTTTCACCTTGTCAGCTGTTTTCTCACTTCTTATTCTGCAAATTGAACAATAAATACGAGAGAAAAAAATACTTAAAAAACTGTGTTGCTTCTTTTTTTTTTAAAGAACAAACAAAAACACATAGATTCATCCGCCAGTTACATAGTCCCTCTGTGGAGGGAGATTATTCTCATGATCCACAAGCATAAACTCTGATTTATAGATGAGCTCCGTGATGTGTTGAGTGTGCGCTGCACTGGTGATGACTTCAAACACTCTTAATAACAGCATTCAAACTGCAATAACTTTTGATAACGATGACCAGCTGTTTATTAGTCATCGAGCTTATATAAACAGTATGTCACAAAGGTGAGTACACGCCACACATTTTTGTAGATATTTTGTTTTATCTTTTCATGGGAAAACACTGAAGATATACGGAGCCAGTCTATAGGGGTTCAGGCCCATGCAGAACAGCAGTGGGGACAGAGCATCTCCTTGGTAGATCTCACATTTGATGCTGACTTATGCTATGGGCTTGAAGTTGGCCTCTAGTGTTGTCCGCCACATCCCCATTGAGTTCCTGATGAAGGCTCTTGGGGTCCTGCTGGTTTGTATAGTTCCAGGCTGTCCAGGATCCAGGTGTGGGGCATTGAGTCATAGGCCTTCTTGTAATCCAGGCAGTGCACAGGTTGGTCAGCCTAGTCTTGGGTGAGTGCTCTCTCTACCAGTAGTTGATGATTCGCTCCACTGGTATTCCTGCCAATTCCTTTCTGTGCCCCACTTGTGTATTAAGCCATTATTATCAGGAAGTCCAAAAAACTCCCTGAAAAGCCTTCAGCTGATCCAAAATGCTGCAGCAAGAGTCCTGACAGGGACTAGAAAGAGAGCAGATTTCTCCTGTTTTGGCTTCCTGTTAATTCAAAATCCTGCTCCTCACATACAAGGTCTTAAATAATCAGGCCCCATCTTATCTTAATGACCTTGTAGTACCATATCACCCTATTAGAGCGCTTCGCTCTCGCTCTGCAGGCCTACTTGTTGTTCCTAGAGTATTTAAAAGTAGAATGGGAGGGAGAGCCTTCAGTTTTCAGGCCCCTCTTCTGTGGAACCAGCTTCCAGTTTGGATTCGGGAGACAGACACTATCTCTACTTTTAAGATTAGGCTTCAAACTTTCCTTTTTGCTAAAGCATATAGTTAGGGCTGGACCAGGTGACCCTGAATCCTCCCTTAGTTATGCTGCAATAGATGTAGGCTGCCGGGGGATTCCCATGATGCATTGGGTGTTTCTTCACTCACTATGTATTAACAGACCTCTCTGCATTGAATCATATCTGTTATTAACCTCTGTCTCTCTTCCACAGCATGTCTTTATCCTGTCTTCCTTCTCTCAGCCCAACCAATCACAGCAGATGGCCCCGCCCCTCCCTGAGCCTGGTTCTGCTGGAGGTTTCTTCCTGTTAAAAGGGAGTTTTTCCTTCCCACTGTCGCCAAAGTGCTGCTCATAGGCTCGTATCTATTATTGTAGGATCTACCTTACAATATAAAGCAGCTTGAGGCAACTGTTGTTGTGATTTGGCGCTATATAAATAAAATTGAATTGAAATGAATTGAATGTGCCTGTTCATCTTAGCCGCTATGATGCCTGACAGGAGCTTCCACCTGGTACTGAGGCAGGTTACTGGCCAGTAGTTGGATGGGACTGGTTCCTTCTGGGGGTCCCTGAGGATCTGGACTGTCCGCCGTTCAGTAAGCCATTCTGGGTGGGGAGGTTGCTGTGGTCTGCTCTTAGATCCAGTAGCCACTGAGTATTGCTGTTATGGTTGCGTCCTTCTCCCGTACGCTCTTGCAGTATTGCTCTGTCTCCAGCCTTGGTGGTGCTGTCCTCATATTGGCCCCGCTTGGCACTTTCCAAGGCCTCAGGTATGGGCAGCTTGCTGTCAGTGGCGGTCCTAGCCTGTTTGGCGCCCCGGGTGAACACTCCCTCTGGGCGTGACTCCCTTCAGTAAGCTACATTGGTGTCTACTGTTTACTATCATAGCCAAGTGACTAACAAACGTAAACAGAAGTTTTCACTATCCTGATGAATTAATGTTATCTCGTTGTATCTGTGTTGTGGTCAGTGCGATCCTCTCTGCTGCTGCATGCTGGGGCAGCAGGCTGAGGGTCACAGACGCCAGCAGACTAAATAAACTGATCCACAAGGCCAGTAATGTTGTGGGGATGGAGCTGGACTCCGTTAGGGTGGTGTCTGAGAGGCAGATGTTGTCCAGGATAAAGACAATGTTGGATAACACCTCCCACCTACTCCATGACGTGCTGGCTGGTCACAGGAGCACGCTCAGTACGGAACGACACAGGAAATCATTCCTGCCTGTGGCTCCCTGTACAACTCCTCCATCTAACACACTGCAATGGTCACAGCCTTTTTACACACGCTTTTCTACTCTGGAATATTCTTGTCAAATTTGGCTTTGAACTTTTCTTGTCATCTTGGTTTTAGTTTTGCACTCCAGCATGAACACAAATCCCGAGGATCAACACGACCTAACACACCGACACCTTAGTTCACAGATTCACTTTGTTTAAGGTGCATTTCTGGGATTTCACACAACCCAGGATTCAGATTGTGAATCCATGATGGGCTTGGATTTACATCATTATAAATGAGATGTGCTCTATCTGGAAGCAGCAGGCCCCGCCCCTTTCAACGGGTTGTGTGAGACTTTAAATCATCAAACTGTAAATTATAAATTTTAATTGTTATTGATCCTTTACCCCGAGTCCTAAAGTGTAGATTTATTTTCTTACTCCTCTTATATTTATTGTTTGTTTACTTGCTGTAACTGGAGCCTCGTCGTCTCGACCACGATGCCGCCCCGGGCAACCGCCCGTATCAAAAACCGCTGCTGCTTGCTGTACTGCGTAGGCACCTCCTACATCGCACCTTTCTCCAAATTCGATAGTCGGCTACTTTTCCTCTGTGCTACCTTGATCTTGGAGTAGTCTCCTTCTCTGTGGAGGGTTCTGCTCCTTGCGGTTTCATCTTACAGCATCTCACTGATTACTTCTGTTGTGGAGTAGATCACATATATACTCGTATATATTCATGTGAGGGTCGGAGCACAAACGTGAGTACATACAAATCACTTCGTTTGTAAGTATTAAATGAATAATTTCCCTTCGTACTCTGAACCTTCCATCATGCATCGTGTGTGCTGCTGTCTCACTGGTCTATTGCACCATCTAGTGTTACAGAGTGGTATTACACTAACTGAAAGCCCAGCTCAACACGAGACTCAGATGATATCTTAAGACAAAGCGGTTATTTCTTCACAGGAAGGATTTTACCTGGAATCTGCCCTGAAATCCTTTCAAAATGAAGCTTGACCTGCACTTTAAATCCAGCTTGTGGGTCACAGACAGCACAAAAAAGCCTGACAAAAAGGATGATAAAAAACCATATTTATTAAACATCACAAATATTGAAATACATATCCAAGCCCTACAGAAGAGATCTAAAGCAGCAGGAGATGTGCTACAAACCTCAGCACTCACGGGAGTGTCTTTGTCTACAGTGTACAGTACTTACACACACACAGGGTTTAATGTGACTGTTAAATCATTTAGAACTAAAGGAGGAGACAACAAGCTAAGTGTGTCCTAAAATCTCAGCAGGGTTAAGTCTATTAAAATAGTCAGCATGAACACGATGGACACAAAAACCATGTTGTGGTCAGTTTCCTGTGTCTGTTGTATGCGGTAAACGTACATTTATAATATCACTAACAGGAGCTTCGACAGCATGTGTTCCATCTACAACATTCAGTGTTTTTAAAATAATGTTCATTTCTGTCTTCTACACAAATATTTAATGTTTTCCAGCTCTGAGAAACCTTTGTGCATTGCATTGTGGGAGATCGGCATCCTTCAACACAGCGGTCCCCAACCCCCGGGCCTCGGTCCCGGTGCGTGAGTCGTTTGGTGCCGGGCCGCGAGAGTTGAGGCTCAGGTGTGAAATGTGTGGTTTTCAGGGTTTTTATCGGTTT